TGCGTATCGGTAAGTTTTTTTCAAATTGTGTGAAAAATAAAAAAATTCACGGTTCCGGTTACCGCAACCGTTACGCTACCGCCTTTACACTCCGCAACCGCAACCGCGCCACCGCTACCGTTATAGCGACCGCAACCGCTTTTCAGAACCTTGCCCGCAAGGGTAGCCCGATTGGTTGAGGGGAAAGGGACCAAAGACCTATAGGAGTATGCTCCTCTCTAGGTTTCAATTTCGAATCCCACCCCTAGCTAGTTACTAGAAGGCCACTACATCTTTAACTGGTTCGAATCTCATCTCCAATTGGCTACTAGCGGACCATTGCGTCTTTGCCTAGTCAATCGGACCCTACTGACGGACTACTACATCTTTACCTGGTTCGAATCTTATCCCCAATTAGCTACTGGCGGGCCATTGCGTCTTTACCTGGTCGATCGGCTCATAGTTCCGAGATTAGTCGAGATGCGTCACTCCGAATGGGTGCTGGCCTAGATACTCGATTATAAAATTAAAAAAAAAAAAGAAAAGCCGAGATTAGTTGAGATGCGTCACTCTGAATGGGTGCTGGCACAGATACTCGATTATAAAATTTTTAAAAAAAAAAATTAGTCGAGATGCGTTACTCCGAATGGGTATTGACCCAGATACTTGATTATAAAATAAAAAAAATTAAAAAACACACGTGATAATTGAGGCACAGGGCCCGTATCATAGAATTTCTCGCAACGTAGACAAAGCCCACCCATCTCTGTCTGTATTATGTGTAGGTGCATTTTTCCACCGGTCATCGTAGAGACATAATTTGGTGGTTCTAATCCACCACTAATGAGGTGGAAAATGAAAAGAAAAAACAAACATACACACACACACAACACATACTGTGACAGTGGGTGAGACTCACTGCCACATCTTTAGTGATAACTTTAATTAGAGCTCCCACTCATTTTTCTTTTTCCACTGCACATGGTACGTTTCATAGAATTTCTCGTAACTTAGAGAAGGCCCACCCATGTCTGTATTATGTGCAGGTGCATTTTTCCATTATGAATTTTCCGTCGTCGCCTCCCATATCCCCAACTCAGTTCTCTCTGAAATAAACAAAAAATGAGTGGGAAAGGAGAGTTGGTGGTGGTGGAGGTGAGGAAGACGGAAGTGGTGGCGGTAGCGTTGCCGATGCGTGTGCATTTGCTACCGCTTTCCAACCATGACTTGCTCTTGCCTCCTGTCGACGTTGGTGTGTTCTTTTGTTATAAAAATCCAACCACCACCACCACAAGACTCATTGGAAAAGAAGGGGGCTTAATGTTGTTCACATTTGCCTCCATGATCGGTGTTTTGAAGAAGGCCATGTCTCAAGCTTTAGTTTCTTACTATCCATTTGCTGGGGAGGTTGTGCACAACACTGTGGGTGAACCTCAGCTTCTGTGCAACAACCGTGGAGTGGACTTCATTGAAGCTTTTGCCCATGTAGAGCTTCAAGGTCTCAATTTCTACAACCCTGATTACAGCATTGAAGGTAAGCTGGTGCCTAAGAAGAAGCAAGGGTTGCTCTCGGTTCAGGTATTGTATTACATAAGTATAATAGTTTTTAAAATTTAAAATAATTATAAATTTATATTTTTAATGAAAATTGTTCATTACGTATGTAGAACGGAAAGAATCTCTTTCCTTTTGCTTTCATCTTGTGGGCCCCCAATCCATTCTTCTTTTGCAACATATTGACCAGAAGGCACACTTAACCCGTTACCTATAAGGCCTACTATCTATTTTAAGTAGCATTAGATTTTTTTTATCTATAATTTTGCATAGAAAATCAATCTATAATTTAAATTTATTTTATATGTGGAACTTACATTATATCAATTCAATTTTTACTACACAATTCAATTTTGAATAAAATTATTTTTTTGTAAATTAGTAAAATTATTAATTTTTAAATTTAAACCAAGATTCATCCCTTTATATATTCCGTGTGAATCAAACTATACATAACTAAACTATGTAACCAACATATGAAAACTCATGACTAGTGAATTTAAACTACAAAACAAAGCATAGAATAGAAAGCAAATCAAAGTTTAAGGCCTCGTTTGGCAAGTAGTTGTTTTAACTTAAAAGTTAAAAAGTTACTGAAAAAATTAAAAAGCCTATAACATATATCAAAAAATCAAAGATTCTCTTTTCTCTTTACTTTTTGCACATTTTTTCATAAAAAGTCAAAAAGTCATCTCAAATATACTAGTTTTTTTTAGCTCATAATTTAGTCAAATAACTAAAAAATTACTAAATTAGCATATTTCCAAACGAGGCCTTAATGAGTCATTTGTCTGTTTAGATTGAGGAAAAGGGAAGAGGAAGTGAAGGGAATAGTTAAAAGTGAGGGGAAAGAAGGAAAGGGGAGGGAAAGGAAAGGGAAAGTCTGGGGTATATTTAATTAGGTATTTTATTTGTAGAGAAAATAATGAGAGGTATATTTAATTATTTGGTTAGACAATGCTTTATTTGTAGAGAAAAAGTCTCTCTTATTTGTAGAGAAAAAGTCTCTCTTATTTGGTTAGACAATGCTTTATTAATGAGAGGTATATTTAATTAGGTATTTTATTGTATTATTATATGAAACACTTATTTTTCTTTCTATTTTTTTTTCCTTTCAATTTCGAAGAGAGAGTGAAATGCTTAAAATACTTGTACTCTCCATCTCTCATAATCTCTCTGTGCACTTTCCTTTCCATTTTAAAGAAGAATCCAAATACGATTTAATTAATTTTATCTCTCAAGATCTTTCACTTCCCCTGCTAAACCATCAATCCAAACGGAGTTGCAATATCGCCACTTGAATTTTCAATTTTGAGGTGGCATTTTTTACAACAAACTATTCGAATATTTAAAAGTGAGTTGTCAATTTTACATGTCTTAGCAATGCCAAATGTTTTTGTTTTCATAATTTTAATGGTAAAAACAAATAAAACAGTTCAAAAAATATTAAAGTAAAAATAATAAAATAATAAATTTCACATTTTAGGTAGAGAGTTTTTTTTAGATATGTCAATTTAATACTTGAGCCTTAAAAAAATTTAGCATACAAATTTATCAACGTCTGGATTTACATGTTCGGGGGCTTTTTTACTTTGGAATCAACTTTGGTTGTCTTTTACCATTTACTTCGTTAGAGCTAATTACAATTTTGTTCTCAAAGTGCAAGTTTTCTTAATAAATTGTGTTAATTTGGTTTCTAACATATAAGAAAAGTTTCAATTTGTTCCTTAATATTTAAAATGAAAAGTGTTTCAATTTAATCTCTTAATCTAACTTCAAATGCCATTAAAACCAATGATAGATATGAAAACTCACTAAAAAATTTACCTTTTTTGTTCAAAAAATATGTGATATGTATCATTTAAGTGAAAACTCATTTAAAAAAGATTTTTAGTTTTCAAAATATGTTATTTGTGTCATTTTGATATCCAAAATTACACATCTACCCTTGATTTTAAAGGAGTTTATTGATAGAATTTGATTGAGAGACCAAAATTGAAACACTTTTTATATATTCGGAACAAAATTGATGGAATTTAAATATTGAGGACTAAATGGAAGTATATTGACCAAAATGATGCCAGCATGTAAATATTGGAGACTGAATGATACAATTTAAATAGTGACAAAAATGGCACAATACTCATACTTCGAAAATTGGAGTTGTTTGGAGTGTCCTAAATAAGTGTACTTTTTGTTTTTTTGGACTAAAAAATTGAGAAAAAAAATATGGATGTTTGAGTTAACTTTTTGACTTTTTATGAAAAAATGTGTATTAAAAAATTGTATAAATTAGTGTGTAGGAGAAAATTAAGATTGAGAGTTGTGCAACCGTAATTTTTGACTTTTAGTGAATAGTGATAACTTTTTAAGTAACTTTTTGATTTTTTAATTATTTTTTTTAACTTGCCAAACTTGACATAAAAATGTAATTAATCCTATTATAAAACCTTGTAAGAAAGAAACTGGACGCCAACATGCCACTCATATATATCCAAGTGATTCCAAAAGTAAAAACTATAGATCAATTATTTATAGTTTGAAAATGGCACAACACTCATACTTTGAAAACCATGCTAGTTGATGATATCTGTAAACAATATTCTTATCCAAATATCACATAACAAACCCAAGAAGGAGGTTTTTCATTGGTGTAATGAGCAACCAATGGTTCAAACTAATCCATATATGTCATATAATTAATTGAAGCTTACTGAAATTTTTTTGACTCTTATCCCAAAACAGAGAAACAAGAATCAATTTGATAGGATAAGATATGGTTTTCCACACAATAATGTAAGAAGAGATTACGTACGAATGTTTGTGTCAAGATTTTAGTTTATTGGGTAAATTACAAACACACTCTCTGAAGTTTATTTAAATTACAAATTATCTCTTGTGGTTCTAAAAATTACATTATGCTTCCTAACGTTTCTAATTTCATAACAAATAGGTCATTTTATTAATAAATCATCAAGTTAATTAACAATTTTTAATAATGTTGAAATTTTATTTCAATTAATAATTCTGATAATTTTATTATTGTACAGGTGAATAGTTAGAAATTTCACTTTTTCAATTAATTCTGTTAAATAAAAAATTGTCACATGAAAGTATTTGTAATTTTTCAAGCCACATGAAACAATTCATATTTTAAACAAAACTCAAAAAGTGTATTTGTAATTTACCGTATTTTATTTTTGTGTTATAGTCCTGAAAATTAGCTATGAAGATTCACATCAAGAGTTAAGAGAGCTCACATGATGCTATATATTAATATACTGATAACTTTGAATGTCACCATCTTGAATAAGAATTATATCAGCCGGTTGAACTATAAAAACTTAGAAAATGAAATTTAACATCTCGAATTTAAGTCATTTTAAAGTGTCATTGGAAATTTAATTTTAGAGTTTTGAAATTAGTAAAAATATATGTAAATTGATCTGAATACTTAATTATCAAAAAAATATATTAAAAAAATATGAGAATAAGTAATTACCATGTTTTAATTAATCAGTGTATATGACTCATAAATTTTTTTTTTTTAAAAAAAATATGAAGCCGGACTTTAAGGAATGAATTATTAAAAATTGAAGTTTTATCACGTTATTCTCACCTGAGATCACTCCCTTGACTTGTAACCAGAAGTTCTGTATATATTTGGGACCACATTAAATGTACTTAAAAATTAATTTGTAAGATAGTGAGGACACTCTCATAAGTAAAAAATAAAAATTAAACAATTAAAGGTTGTTTTGACTATAAATTAAAATAAAGGGAACTTACTAGGTCTGAAGTGGAGTTATTGTTCAATAGGTTCTATAATAATTAATGACGTTTTTTATTAAATACTATTAAAAAATGTCATTAATTGTTAATTTTCAGCGACAACTTAAAAATTTTGTCATAAAAAAAGTTACAAATTATAAGTTTTAGCGATAGTTTTAAAAAATCGTCACAAAAAAAATGTTACTAATTTTCAAATTTCAGTGACAATTTATAAAATTTGTAACAAAAAAAGTCACTAATTATAATATTTAGTGACAATTTATAAAAATAGGGACAAAAAGTCACTAATTTTCAATTTTTAACGACATATTCAAAAAATCGTCACAAAAAATTATTTTTAGTGACGATTTTATTAAGACTTATTTTCAATAAGATTTTATGAGAATTAAATCCAACTATTATGATCTATTAGTAGTTTACCCTTAAAAATAATTAAAAAGTTAGAAAGTCACAACAAAAAAGTTAACTCTTCTAATTTTTATTTTTATTTTATTTTTTTACATATCTTTTCATAAAAATTCAAAAAAATAAATTAAAATGGTTTATAATATGGACAAAAACACGGTGTTTCTACTCCGGTGAAGCACCAATAAATTTTAAAATTTAATTTTGTGAATTGTTTAGTCTTTTCTTTTTTTTTTATGAATCCAAAGGTCCGGTTAAAATGAAAATTACATAAAAATCTAGTCACTTACACATTTAGATTTAAAAGTTGGTTTCTCCAAATGTGAAATTATACATTTGGACAATCTGCACTATAAATGGTTTGGATTTTTATTTTTTCTGAAACAAATCCTATATTATGAATAAGAACGTAACACTGCAATGTAACACATTAAAAAACTCTTTAGTGCGTTTTTCTCAAACGTAATAACGTAATACTCCAATTTTTTTTCAAATGTAACACTCAAATGTAATATACTCCAATATAACACACAAAAAAACTCTTCAGTATACTTTTCCAAACCTAACGTTTCAATCAATGTAATCTTAAACGTAACACTCTAATGTAACATACACAAAAACACTAAAAATTACTTAGTGTACTTTTTTCAAACTTAACATTCACAATATGAAATTATACATTTATCCAAAGTTTACTAAGAAATTTTTGTACTCCTTTTGAAATAATTTGAAAAATCTCACCCTTTTGTACTCTTTTTTTTTTTTTTTTTTTTTTTATTATTATTATTTTTTTTTTTGTGTTACATTGAAATATTACGTTTGGAAAAAGTATACTAAGAAATTTTTTTGTGTTATATTAGAGTGTTACATTTAGGATTTATTTATTTATTTATTTTTAAGTATTATATTAAAGTGTTACGTTTGAAAAAAGTATAATAAAGAGTTTTTTTTTTTCAGTATTACATTGTAGTGTTAATAAGGAATTTTTGTACTCTTTGTTTTTTAG